CGAAAGCCTTTGGCCGTTTCAACTGCCTGCGAAAGCTATTTTGATTCCTTTGGGCTGCACTTCTGTGGCACTTTGGAGTTGGCGCACTCTGAGGTCTGCCCGATTAACAGGGTTGCTGTCAAATACGACTAAATTAACAAAATTTCGACTGCATTAAACAATGCATACATCGACTGGGAGTAGAGAACACCTATGAAAGATATAATTTTCCTAGTTAACAAGTGTCGAATTGACAAGATTTCACTGTAGCACATTTTCCAGTTGTATAAGGAAGTGCCACCTACCTGCTGCTTGGTGTTCTTGTTGGGCCGCACCGAGAAGTGTGCCTCCTTCATGGACCTTTCGACAATGCTGACAGGGTAGGGCCTTTTGGTCTCCGGGTTGATGCACATGTCGGCCACCAGGGTGGCAATGTCCCGAAAGCTAGATTCCAGCTGGCTGTGGCGTTCCTTCTCTGAGACCTGGAGCTCGCCCTTGGTCAGGATCTGGAGGTCGATTGATGGGCAGTGGGTTAGACAGCAAACAAAATGCAATTTCACTCTAGCTAAACTTCCTATATGTGAGCAGTATGCGCTACTAAAATACCAACATAGTCTCATCATGAGTGGTTTCGCATTGAATACGCAGTGACGGCATCTGCAAGTTGAATTTGGACAAATGCTCTGTGCTGTGTGCCAAACGTACACTGCGCAGCATTTGCTGGTCGCTTTTGGTAGGGTTGTGTGAATGGTAAAATGTCATCTCAAACAAAACCCAATAGTGCCAAATAGTGGCCATAAATACCAAATACCAAAGGCTTTGCCTCTGGATGGGTCGATCACTAATGAAACGGCCACCATTCCCATCAACAACAGCATTCCCGAGTGTAAACAGTGGCGATCTATTAGGAGCTCACAGATGGTTGAGGACAGAGCTTCTCTTTGACTACTATAGCCAATTTGGCTCATTGTTTTTTTTACAACCAAATGCTATTTACTGTCATACTAAATGCTATTTACTGTCGTACTTCATCGTTGTGTTTCAACATCAGGAGTGCTCACAAAACTTCCAGCACAGACTCGCAGCAGCAATTAACAGAGCTGCTATTCCTTATTTTGATAAACTAAAGAGGCTCGCAAGTTTCGGCATATCCTGAACAGGTGGCGAGAAATTGGTGTATGCTATATAAACTAAATTATCATTTAGCTCCATAGTTATTATGAGCTGAAACGGCAGAAATACTGGCCAGCAGAACCCGAGAATCCAATAATAGTAATGCCTGGGGTTTTAGATATCAAAACCACCATATGATGAGGCAGGCCAAGGTGTAGGGATCAGGGAATTTCGACCATCTTGTGTTCTTTCATCTGCACTGACATCCCGCAGTACACAGTCCCCTAATACCGTATTCGCTCGCATACTTTGAGCACTTCATTGGGGGAATTTTGGGGCTCCGAGAAGAGGTTCCGCAAATTACACGGGGATTTTGCGAATGCATACAACATAAAGTACAATGGTCCAAACGCGCACAGTATACACATTAAAAAATAAATCTAAGCATAAATAAACTCTATTAGTTAATTAAACAAAGTTAGCACGTACTTTAACCAGTCAGATCCGGTCATGCACAATCTAATTGGATTCACTGATCGAAAGTTCCACTTGCGAATCATCGCAGCCGCTGTCACGTCTTTCCAAAAGCGCATAGTCCTCGTTCCAATGAGCGTATTTGCATGCCCCATTTTTTTTAAGCTATTCTTGACAATGCTTGGAGAAACTAGGTCCCATGACAGGATGATACCGAAGGACCTAAGCGTTTGCTCATAATTGAAAATGCCTGCTTCAAAGACAAAAAACTTGTATTAGCAAGCACACACTCATCTGCTTTCTCTCATACTGATCATGCTGATCGGCACACGTTGAAGTTTACACAGAAGTGCTTGGCCGCACAGTTGCAGTTTTTTTTTTTGCAAACTTTATAACAGCGAGCTTGAATTTTGCTGTACATACAAGGTGTTTTTTCCTAAGCAATACAGATTTTTCCTTAAAAGACTAATAGGCAGGCACTTGTCTTCGTAGCCAATTTCTAGGCTGAGCAGAAATATTTTGCCACTAATTAGGTCACTTAAAAATGATTAATAGATAAAAATATTTCAAATAACTTTTTATTATCAATTTTAGGGTGGTTTTTTATATGGCAAAGTTATTCTAGGTCACAAATTATGGCGAGCGCAGTTTAAAAAGATTGAAAATATAACGCGCAGCTTTAGAGATCTATCGTTGAGTTTCTATACAGCGGTGCTAGATTTAATTAAATTATTTTGTCAATCATCCCTGAGTGATCTAATTTGTAGCAATATCTTTCTGCTTCGACCTAAAAATTGGCTGTGAAGTGAAATGAACTTTAATTGGTCCTGGAGAACTGGTCAGACACGCCCCTAAGAGGTGTCCCGCCGCAGTTGCTGGCCGCGTCCACGCCGGGACTTGAAGACCGTGGCTCTCCGCCCGTTCGCAGGCCTCCTGGACTGCCGAGTATTGGACTGAGAGTTCGGGGCTTTTAAGAGCCCTCTCCCAGTGTTCTTCTGTGCTGAACTTTGCGTCATGTAACGCTGGGCACTGCCACAGCATGTGAGCGAGTGTGCAGTTATTTGCCTCACAACTAGGGCATCCTGGAGTTATGCCATCAGCAAAGTGGCTAAATGTGCTACGAGATGGGAATGAACCTGCCTGTAGCATCCGAAGAACCGACGACTGTGGCAGAGTGAGCTTGGAATGCGGAAGCGGGTACCTCCGCCTAGACAACTGATAATGAGACGTCACTTCGTTAAAGGTGCCAAGTGGATCTTTAATGTTATCCGCGAACCCACCTCCGTACCCACCCGGACCGCCGCAGCACGTGATTTCTCGCGCACGGTTATGGGCAAGTTCGTTGGCGTTGGGAAGAGTCTGATGCACCTCTGAGCCCATGTGGGCCGGAAACCAGGTGATTGTGTGGTGGCCTACCACACCCCTGGAATTAAGAATAGCGGCAGCCTTCCTAGAGATTACCCCCGAGGCAAAGGCCCGGGTGCCAGCCCTGGAGTCAGTAAATATCTCTGTACGCGAAGGGTCCGTCATCGCCAAGGCTATCGCTACCTGAAATTGGCTGTGAAGACAACAGGTGTTCAACTATTATAGATAAAAAAAATCTGTTTTGCTTAAAAAAAAACCCTGTATAATACAATATAGCCCATCGCAAGAAAACAGTAAACACACGACCGATGGATGGCGAAACCTAAACTTCAAAAATTAATCAAGAGCTCATTACAGCGTGGACGCAGAGAACGAGGGAACTGTTGAACGAGGGGAACTGTTGGCATGACAGGCGCTCGCACGCCTCCAAGGCAGAAAGCTACCTGTGCCATGACACGAGCATACATTCTCATGGTAGAGATGGGGAGATAGAGGGAGGTCAAGGGCGGCAAATGCTCGAGCATCCACGCCTGTAGGGGACGCCTGGAAAAAAAGGGATTCGCATTCCGCAGCCCGTTTGATATCGCTTCGCCATTCAGGCGAGGGCACGCGCACAGGTCACCCTTCAATCTCCCAATAGCGAAAGTATCTTTGTGCGCGTGCCAGTGAGCTCACCACGGGTCGACGAGCGTAACTTTGCGAGTAAATTTTTTTTTCCAAAAGCCGGGCAATATAAGGGTTGCACAAATTAGCGAGTAATTATGTATTTTTGCCTTTGTTTCATGTGCGCTATACTTTTACTGCTACCGTGTTCATTGTAGAGGCAGGAGGCTTTGAAAGATGTTCGCTGTATGTGGACTCAGTTTCAAAGGATAGCATAGCAAAATCGTAAGTGCACCAAATACGGTCGTTATAACCGATAGATAGTTATATCTGGGATCGTTATAAGTGGGTTCGAATGTATATTTCAATTGTTATAGAACCTTAAGATACTTCTCATGCAAAAAATATATTTTAAATTGAAACACGGCATATGTAAATATCATTGTTTTGAATTAGAAGCAACTTCAACTAGCAAAAGGAACTGACTTTTGATAGAATGCAAGTAACAATAAAATATGCTGGTTTTAAATTAACTTAACCGTATTCACTAAAACAGCCAGTATAACAAGCTTTTACACTTGAATTATGATGAATCGATGTGAGAGTAACACCTTTACTTTATTTTGAGGTGAGGCAGCGCAGCAGTGCGTAATTTCTCTGAATAGGTGTTTTCACGGTACAGCACTCCATCACAGCGAAACCACCTTTAACAAAGGATTACGTGCAGACAGATATTTGTGATTTTAGCATACTTCGAAATGTTTTCTATAATTTAAATCCAGACTGAAGCAAACCAGAATACTGCAATATTCATTCAAATATTTCAGCTGGTACATTATTCACAGAAGCCTAATTCAACATATACAGTAAAAGCTTGTTAACTCTGATTTCACGTGACTAGAAAAAGTGTCCGAGTGTATGGAATATAAAACTGTCAAAAGCATCAAAAAACAATAAATATATGTTGAACATATCAATGCACTTTCATTTTGTTGATGCAGATGTAAATCCAATAATTATTTTGCACCACAGCAGAGCTAAGATGAAATTTTCATCATTCGCAACTTTGTTCACAATACGAATGCATTTTGACTGACCCCAATGTCTTAATTCAAAATTTGCTCCGAACCCGTACCCGACTACCCACCAACAACGCAACTGTATGTGGCAACCGCACCTTTCCGAAAGCCTTTGGCCGTTTCAACTGCCTGCGAAAGCTATTTTGATTCCTTTGGGCTGCACTTCTGTGGCACTTTGGAGTTGGCGCACTCTGAGGTCTGCCCGATTAACAGGGTTGCTGTCAAATACGACTAAATTAACAAAATTTCGACTGCATTAAACAATGCATACATCGACTGGGAGTAGAGAACACCTATGAAAGATATAATTTTCCTAGTTAACAAGTGTCGAATTGACAAGATTTCACTGTAGCACATTTTCCAGTTGTATAAGGAAGTGCCACCTACCTGCTGCTTGGTGTTCTTGTTGGGCCGCACCGAGAAGTGTGCCTCCTTCATGGACCTTTCGACAATGCTGACAGGGTAGGGCCTTTTGGTCTCCGGGTTGATGCACATGTCGGCCACCAGGGTGGCAATGTCCCGAAAGCTAGATTCCAGCTGGCTGTGGCGTTCCTTCTCTGAGACCTGGAGCTCGCCCTTGGTCAGGATCTGGAGGTCGATTGATGGGCAGTGGGTTAGACAGCAAACAAAATGCAATTTCACTCTAGCTAAACTTCCTATATGTGAGCAGTATGCGCTACTAAAATACCAACATAGTCTCATCATGAGTGGTTTCGCATTGAATACGCAGTGACGGCATCTGCAAGTTGAATTTGGACAAATGCTCTGTGCTGTGTGCCAAACGTACACTGCGCAGCATTTGCTGGTCGCTTTTGGTAGGGTTGTGTGAATGGTAAAATGTCATCTCAAACAAAACCCAATAGTGCCAAATAGTGGCCATAAATACCAAATACCAAAGGCTTTGCCTCTGGATGGGTCGATCACTAATGAAACGGCCACCATTCCCATCAACAACAGCATTCCCGAGTGTAAACAGTGGCGATCTATTAGGAGCTCACAGATGGTTGAGGACAGAGCTTCTCTTTGACTACTATAGCCAATTTGGCTCATTGTTTTTTTTACAACCAAATGCTATTTACTGTCATACTAAATGCTATTTACTGTCGTACTTCATCGTTGTGTTTCAACATCAGGAGTGCTCACAAAACTTCCAGCACAGACTCGCAGCAGCAATTAACAGAGCTGCTATTCCTTATTTTGATAAACTAAAGAGGCTCGCAAGTTTCGGCATATCCTGAACAGGTGGCGAGAAATTGGTGTATGCTATATAAACTAAATTATCATTTAGCTCCATAGTTATTATGAGCTGAAACGGCAGAAATACTGGCCAGCAGAACCCGAGAATCCAATAATAGTAATGCCTGGGGTTTTAGATATCAAAACCACCATATGATGAGGCAGGCCAAGGTGTAGGGATCAGGGAATTTCGACCATCTTGTGTTCTTTCATCTGCACTGACATCCCGCAGTACACAGTCCCCTAATACCGTATTCGCTCGCATACTTTGAGCACTTCATTGGGGGAATTTTGGGGCTCCGAGAAGAGGTTCCGCAAATTACACGGGGATTTTGCGAATGCATACAACATAAAGTACAATGGTCCAAACGCGCACAGTATACACATTAAAAAAATAAATCTAAGCATAAATAAACTCTATTAGTTAATTAAACAAAGTTAGCACGTACTTTAACCAGTCAGATCCGGTCATGCACAATCTAATTGGATTCACTGATCGAAAGTTCCACTTGCGAATCATCGCAGCCGCTGTCACGTCTTTCCAAAAGCGCATAGTCCTCGTTCCAATGAGCGTATTTGCATGCCCCATTTTTTTTAAGCTATTCTTGACAATGCTTGGAGAAACTAGGTCCCATGACAGGATGATACCGAAGGACCTAAGCGTTTGCTCATAATTGAAAATGCCTGCTTCAAAGACAAAAAACTTGTATTAGCAAGCACACACTCATCTGCTTTCTCTCATACTGATCATGCTGATCGGCACACGTTGAAGTTTACACAGAAGTGCTTGGCCGCACAGTTGCAGTTTTTTTTTTTTGCAAACTTTATAACAGCGAGCTTGAATTTTGCTGTACATACAAGGTGTTTTTTCCTAAGCAATACAGATTTTTCCTTAAAAGACTAATAGGCAGGCACTTGTCTTCGTAGCCAATTTCTAGGCTGAGCAGAAATATTTTGCCACTAATTAGGTCACTTAAAAATGATTAATAGATAAAAATATTTCAAATAACTTTTTATTATCAATTTTAGGGTGGTTTTTTATATGGCAAAGTTATTCTAGGTCACAAATTATGGCGAGCGCAGTTTAAAAAGATTGAAAATATAACGCGCAGCTTTAGAGATCTATCGTTGAGTTTCTATACAGCGGTGCTAGATTTAATTAAATTATTTTTGTCAATCATCCCTGAGTGATCTAATTTGTAGCAATATCTTTCTGCTTCGACCTAAAAATTGGCTGTGAAGTGAAATGAACTTTAATTGGTCCTGGAGAACTGGTCAGACACGCCCCTAAGAGGTGTCCCGCCGCAGTTGCTGGCCGCGTCCACGCCGGGACTTGAAGACCGTGGCTCTCCGCCCGTTCGCAGGCCTCCTGGACTGCCGAGTATTGGACTGAGAGTTCGGGGCTTTTAAGAGCCCTCTCCCAGTGTTCTTCTGTGCTGAACTTTGCGTCATGTAACGCTGGGCACTGCCACAGCATGTGAGCGAGTGTGCAGTTATTTGCCTCACAACTAGGGCATCCTGGAGTTATGCCATCAGCAAAGTGGCTAAATGTGCTACGAGATGGGAATGAACCTGCCTGTAGCATCCGAAGAACCGACGACTGTGGCAGAGTGAGCTTGGAATGCGGAAGCGGGTACCTCCGCCTAGACAACTGATAATGAGACGTCACTTCGTTAAAGGTGCCAAGTGGATCTTTAATGTTATCCGCGAACCCACCTCCGTACCCACCCGGACCGCCGCAGCACGTGATTTCTCGCGCACGGTTATGGGCAAGTTCGTTGGCGTTGGGAAGAGTCTGATGCACCTCTGAGCCCATGTGGGCCGGAAACCAGGTGATTGTGTGGTGGCCTACCACACCCCTGGAATTAAGAATAGCGGCAGCCTTCCTAGAGATTACCCCCGAGGCAAAGGCCCGGGTGCCAGCCCTGGAGTCAGTAAATATCTCTGTACGCGAAGGGTCCGTCATCGCCAAGGCTATCGCTACCTGAAATTGGCTGTGAAGACAACAGGTGTTCAACTATTATAGATAAAAAAAATCTGTTTTGCTTAAAAAAAAACCCTGTATAATACAATATAGCCCATCGCAAGAAAACAGTAAACACACGACCGATGGATGGCGAAACCTAAACTTCAAAAATTAATCAAGAGCTCATTACAGCGTGGACGCAGAGAACGAGGGGAACTGTTGAACGAGGGGAACTGTTGGCATGACAGGCGCTCGCACGCCTCCAAGGCAGAAAGCTACCTGTGCCATGACACGAGCATACATTCTCATGGTAGAGATGGGGAGATAGAGGGAGGTCAAGGGCGGCAAATGCTCGAGCAGTCCAGCGTCCTAGTACGGGGGAACGCCTGGGAAAAAAGGGCTTCGCATTCGCAGCCCGTTTGATAGCGCTCGCCAGTTCGGCGAGGCACGCGCACAGCGCACCCATTCAAAGCTCCCAATAGTCGAAAGTATCTTTGTGCGCGTGCCAGTGAGCTCACCCGAGCGGGTCGACGAGCGTAACATTTGCGAGTAAATTTTTTTTTCCATAAAGCTGGCAAAATATAAGGGTTGCACAAATTATGCGAGTAATTATGGTATTTTGCCTCATTTAATCGCAAAACTGCTAGGATTGAACAGTGCTAAGCTTGTGTTAAGCTTGTGCATGGTTCGAAGTCAAATCAAAGCAAATAGTAATATGTATCAAGTAATTTTGAAGCATATTCAAATACTAGCAGGCCTTTAACAGTAATAAAGTGCAAGTTAAAAGCGGGACATTATATTTTAAATTTGCTTTACTTAGCCCTTATAAAGCCATACAATACATTTCTAAACTAAAAAAAAAGAGCAAACATGGAAGAAATAATCTGTGCGCAGGTAACATTTCCGCTCATCTCCGAAGTAGGACCTCACGGCTGCCTACCCTCTAACACGTATTTTCACGGCATAGAAGCCTCACATGACAGTGAAACCACCTTTACAGGCGGTTCTGATGAGGCAAAATCCTACCATTCATTCATTTTGAGTACTTTGAAATTTCGTGGTGTAAAATAATTCGTTAAGTACAAACATGAATTTAAAAGTCGAGCCACATTATCTGATAACATATCAAATTTGATACTGAAGCAAGCATTCGCACAGCACTAAGGTCGTATACAACTTGAGAGGTACATGACATTCTCTTCACATGTGCAGATGCCCACAAGTGCAGATGCCCAATGGGTGCAGATGCCCAATGGGTGCACACTCCAGCCAGACGTGATAAACAGGGCAGCCAGTGACTTCACCTCTGCCAAACATTGGCGAGTGGATAAGCGAGACTATTTCTTCTGTCGCAGAGGCAATCGGCTCCTGTGCTTTGGTCATCTAGGCGGTGCTTCTCAAGACTTGTGAAATTGTACCAGACTGTAGATTTTTTGTGTTCGTACTGCCCTTTCAATGGTGTGCAGGAAACTTCAACGTTTTTAATGGTTCCATGATATGTACCGACTATGAGACTAAGGCTGACACAGTACTATCCACGTCATCTCTTCTTTGATGAGGTCCCTGTCAGATGTTACTGCTTAACAGGGCAAAGAGGCAAAGCATAAAGCTTGTGTACTATGTAGGTTCGTCAAGAGCAGTGACTGCGGTGCTGAACCACACTGTCAACCTGATACGCAAGGCTAATAATATCCATGGTTCAACGACCCATATGCACCAGTTTATTATGAGGGGCACTCCAGTGGAGGGCTCCAAAAATTTCGACCATTTGCTTTAGAGTGCACAGACACGACACAGCACACTGGCCTCTAGCATATTGCTCTAACAAAATCGCTCAATCTAGCTCTATCGAAATGCAATTACCGTGGTTGGGACTGAAACCATGAACTTCTGGTCAGCAGCTGAGTTCAGTAACCGCTACTCCACTGCGGTGGGCACACAAGATTAATGCAGAGAGAACACAGTAGACAAAGTGCACCAAAACACACAGGTGGTTCTGGAAGATACATGCCAGTGATCCACATGTGTCACCGCCTCTTGGCGAGTGAAAAACAAGGCAGCTAAATACTTCACAATACCACACACACTGCAGCTGCTGATGCGCACGTATTTGTGCAGCCAAATTTTTTTTTTTTTCGTAATGTAGCTACCACAGCATCCAAAGACTACAAGTTCATTTTTCGATAACCTTGTATGAATGGATACCACGTAAAATTTTAAAATAAAGACAGAGTACTTGCACAGCACATATAAGCTAGATTGCACTGGCCTACAAAAGCCAGAGAGGAGGAAAGGTTTGACATCTACTGGATGCCAGAGCTTACCTACTTGGCCAATGAAAAAGTCCTAAGAAATGTACATTTAACGGCTGGTTTTCATTGTTAGACACAAAAGACTCCTTAATATCATAATACTGAAGACTCCATAAGTTGACAAAACTGGGAAGTGTTCACTACATTATTGGCCTATGAGCAGCACCCACTCATGAAATGTGTGCCTTGTAGTTAGAGCGCATGATACACATTCCATAGCATGGCCTCTGAAATAATCAAAGCATGGCCAGTGCAGCCAAATCTCTGATGTCGGGTCTGCCACCACACTGATTCTCCAGATTGTGCCCATTTCTAGCAAGTGGTATTAACTGCACTTTGATAATGGCAGTATAGAGACACTGATGTTTACAAACCAGCCAAGTATGATCACTTTTCCATTTTTTTGCCTCATAAAAAGAGTTCCAATGGCACCATAATAATTTTTTTAAAGCAACTTATGCAGCAACATTACACTAAAGACAAAACAAATGAACTTTGCACACGTACAGTATGGATGCTAGCACATCAACAAGCTGCAGTACCTCTTTACAAATCTTGGTCTGGTCGTCTGTACCAAAGCACTTGATGAGATCCTCTTTCTTGGCTGCTTGGCCCTTGGAGACGTTCGTGTACACTGTGTGCATCTGGAGAACTTCGTCGATGTCTTTCTCCCTGCAATGAAGAGCGTACAGGAACAAAACCCCACTCGTCAGTGACGAGCTCCAATCATATGCATCAAAAGACACTACGCTACGATCCCTGCTCAACTACAATTTGTGCAGGGGTCATTCAAAGAGTGGACTACCCCTGATCAAACTGAACGCTAAAATTCCAGAAAAAACACTTGAGTAATGAACTAAAGAAACTGAAACATGGTTCGCTAAGTCTACTTCGTGAAAAAAGACTAATATTGAGCATGTGTGTTCAACTGCTTGCCACCATAAGTGATTTTCTGGATGTTCAAAAAACCATGGAACTTGTAATCGAAGGTCTTAAACATGCGGACATTTTGATAGCAGCACGCGGCCCACACATGAGAGCCTTCGTCCCACACTTTTTGTATCAATATCTGACTGTTTGCAACATTTATAAATGTCGCTAAATTTCCTTGCCTGCCATAATTAATACCACTTTCTTTGGGCAAGCTAGAGGATTGGTCTTAAGCATATTTTTTTCATGAAGCACCCCATGCAGCCACTTTCTGTTATAACATAACCGAGGGGCAATAAATCTATACTGGAGTATTGGCGCCCACATTTCAACTTATTGTGGAGATCAGCATAGAATGTTTCTTGAATACAAACTCCAAATCCCCTTCAAAAGTGACCCATATGTACGAGATTTGATAAATTCCTTAGAAAACATCTGAAACATTGTTTAATTGCCCTAGCTGCCAACTTCTTCACTGCCCTGGCCTTTTGTAGAAATAAATTTTCTGACTGCAGCCCGGTAGCTAATGCGACTGAGATCTCTGTTGTAACAGAATAACCGTTACCTAAACACTGACAATAAAAGTGATAAAACAAGACAACAGCACATCATTAAAATGCAGTGAAATTAAATTGGAAATGTCTTCAATGCAGAGTGCCACACATTCTAAATGTATGCACACTTGGCAAGACAAGCTCGAACACATGAAAAAAAAATGATATTGTGATGTAACAGTAAAGGCAACCTTTATTAGGCCCGGAAGACACGATGAAGCGACCACGCCCAAGGCACAGAACTCAGACAAGCCAAGTCCCCACAGCAGAAGACGATGACGACCACTCATGATGATGAATATGTGTAAAGATAGATGATGTGCTTAATGAATGCCTACACTAACTCCCCCCCCCGTGAAAGCGGTCATCCTGACCGCAGTTCTTGGCCGCATTTTAAAGCGAAGATGAACGCCGTACGAAAGGCTTCATGCGGGATACGTGGACTATTTCTGCTGCCCTATAGCGGCGGTCCGTCAAAAGAAGAACGGGTGCCACGCGATAATTCACAGGAGACATTTGCTCCAAGACAGTGTAGGGGCCAATAAAACGTAATTGAAACTTCTCGCACAGTCCGGGAGTGCGAATGGGTGTAAGAAGGAGGACTTCGTCGCCAGGGCTGAAAGACACGGCACGATGGGAGGCATCATATTCAAGCTTGCGATCCTGTTGCTTGGCTTCAGTGTTGACGCGAGCCAACTGGCGGCAATGAAGTAGACGCGACACGTATTCTTCACTTGAAGATGAACATGGTTTGACAGGCGCAGAGAAGAACGAAACATCGAGGAAAGAAGAGGGGAAGCGACCGTGGACGAGGTAGAACGGCGAGTAACCGGTTGTGCGCTGTACAGAGGTATTATACGCAAAAGTGACAAATGGCAAAATGGTGTCCCAGTTTCTGTGGTCGGGTTCGATATACATCGCAATCATGTCTGACAGTGTACGATGGAAGCGCTCAGTCAGGCCGTTCGTCTGAGGATGGTAACTGGAGCTTGTTTTGTGTGTAGTGCCGGCTGCCTTGAGCACTTCTTCGACGAGTGCTGAAAGAAATACTCTTCCACGGTCGCTCAGGATTACACGAGGAGCTCCGTGTCGAAGTATTATTGCTCGAAGGATGAAGTCGGCCACTTCCGAAGCTGATGCAGAAGGCACGGGAGCTGTTTCGGCGTAGCGGGTCAGGTGGTCGACAGCTGTAACTATCCAACGATTGCCCGTGACAGTCATAGGAAGCGGACCATACAGGTCAATGCCAACTACCTCGAATGGTTGCAGGGGACACGGGAGCGGTTGTAATTGTCCACTTCGAGTTGATGTAGGTAGCTTGCGACGCTGACAAAGGGCGCATGAGGCAACGTACTTCGCGACACAGGTGGACAAGCCCGGCCAGTAGTAGTGACATCTTATGCGGTCATACGTTTTCTGGAAGCCCATGTGTCCAGCAGACATGTCATCGTGATATGTCTTGAGGACTTGAGCCCGAAGAGAGCGAGGTAGAACGGGCACCCAGCGTTGACCATCAGGGTGGTAGATATGACGGTACAGGACGTGGTTGTTGAGCTTGAATTGCGTCAGCTGTCGGCGAAGACGGGCGTTAGGGGGCTGGCAAGTCCCGTCAAGACGGTCCATGATGCGGCGACAGTAAGGGTCAGCACGTTGGTGAGATAAGAACAAACCACACTCGCTTGGAAAAGTTGGGTCCAAAGTAGTTAATGACGAAACATGTAGGGAAGAGACGGCCGAAAGCTTCTCGTGTGCAGCAGTGGCGGGTTTGTTAAGCGGCTCCGAAGAGAGCGGGCAACGCGAAAGGGCGTCGGCGTCTTGATGCTTGTTTCCCGACTTGTATGTGATAGTGAAGTCGTATTCTTGTAAGCGAAGAATCCAGCGACCAAGGCGGCCGGACAAGTTCTTGATTGTCGAGAGCCAGCACAAGGCGTGATGGTCCGTAACCACAGTAAAGTGGCGGCCATGGAGATAAGGTCGAAACTTTTGTATCGACCATACGACCGCTAGGCACTCCTGTTCGGTGATGGTATAATTCTTTTCAGCAGGGGTCAGTGCACGGCTCGCGTATGCGATGACTTTCTCATGTGAAGATTTGTCTTGCTGTAGAAGAATTCCACCAATGCCTCGACCACTAGCGTCTGTATGCAGGAGCGTAGGCGCGGTTTCGTCGAAATGGCAGAGGACTGGTTCGGATGTGAGTGCACACTTCAGTTGGGCAAACGCCGCTTCACATTCAGGAGACCACACAAAGGCGACGCCTGATCCGAGCAACTTGTGCAATGGTGAAGCTATTGAGGCGAAGTCTCGAATGAATCGGCGAAAATAAGAAGCGAGGCCGAGGAAACTGCGCAAATCTTTGGCTTTTTCAGGACGCGGGAAGTGTTGGACAGCGGAAATCTTGTCAGGATCGGGACGAATACCGTCCTTGCTTCCGATGTGGCCTAACACTTTAATCGTCTTGCTCGCAAAACGGCACTTCTTGGTGTTCAGCTGAAGGCCTGCGTTTGCAAGGCACGTAAGAACTTCGTCCAGTCGTTGCAAGTGCTGAGGGAAGGTTGACGAGAAAATAACGATATCGTCTAAATAGCACAAGCAAGTCTTCCACTTCAAGCCTCGTAAAACTGTGTCGATCATCCGCTCGAATGTTGCTGGAGCATTGCAAAGGCCGAATGGCATGACGTTGAATTCATACAGCCCATCTGGTGTTGAAAACGCTGTCTTTTCTTTGTCATCCTCGTGCATGGGTATTTGCCAGTAACCTGAACGCAGGTCTAGGCTTGAAAAGTACCCAGCACCTCCACCACTTGTGATGTAACAGTAAAGGCAACCTTTATTAGGCCCGGAAGACGCGATGAAGCGACCACGCCCAAGGCACAGAATTCAGACAAGCCAAGTCCCCACAGCAGAAGAAGATGACGACCACTCATGATGATGAATATGTGTAAAGATAGATGATGTGCTTAATGAATGCCTACAATATTTTTATATTAAATAGAACACACAATATTTTCCATATTTAAGCAAGACAAATCCTAAAGGCTGCCTGGAGTTCAGGAAAAAAAAAAACAGTAGAGCTTACTTAGAGTTTACTACGATTACAATACCATTCCAAACTATGCACCTTGTTGAGTGGGGCTTCGTAAATACTAAATTGAAAGGTGATCACACCTAATGCACCAATACAACAGCAGTACTCAGATTTAACACCATCACCCTTCCCCCATAATGACCATGCCTGTAGTGAGCTGCATTAGCGATACAAGACACAGGGGCCTAGTGCATGAATTCAAAAGGAAGAGGAAAAAAAAAACAGATGCGAGTTTTCAATAATAAATGTTTCTTGTTTATTAACGAAAATAAACTTATAAGCTGTCCGAAGGCAAAGTTGGCTGGTACGATTTTTTTTCCTCAGTGAGTGGTGTGTCTGCATAAAAACCGACCCTCTTTTAAAGGAAAACCATTTGGAAATGTCCTCGAATGTTCACACATCGAATGTTCTCTCTGTAGTCTCCAATAAATCCTGTTACTGCCTATATTCAAATACAAACAAATATGCTGCATCATCAAATAGCACAACTAAAGCTGAACACACATAGAACTGCAAAACCTACATCATTTTAATCCGATATTCCGATTACACGCGCACATATCCCGTGCAGCAGCAGTGTGTACATTCACGTGACAAGTTGTGGAAGCTTGTCACGCTCCAAGTCTTACTTCAACTTGAAACACTGTCCACATTTGCACAATCTTACAATTGGAAAAGTACAGCTCACTTAACTTCATCGTGCTGCGTATTGCTGCAGAAGATACTAGCATGTTTGATGAGTCATTGACGTTGCCCACTCCATGAGCAACAAAAGTTATAAGTCATAACAAATAGTCCATGTATTTTAGGCCCGACAGTTGTTCCCACGTAGAAGTAGAACAGACTGAATCCATTAAATATGGATTAGTACACGCTGACTAAGACTAATTACTGAAACATGCACAATTTAACAATTACCCCTTCCTCTTTATGCATCAGAATGTCAAGTGCCATGGAATGAAGTGGTGCAATTTTGGCACATTTACAGACAGTCCACCATAATTCCAACCTAAATGTGTCATCCGCACACTCTGATAATCATTTCAAGCCTTTACACAACATTAGCTTAATGCAAAAAGCTTACGAAACATCGGCAATGTTCTGCCATAAAGCTGTGGCATGCTAATGGTTTTGACACGTGAAACGTGTTAAAGCTTTAAAAAACTGGCCATATAGCTCTTGCCGTTTCATTTCTAAACTCTGTGAAAGAGAAGACTGGCGTGAACAGACAACAAAATGCCTGTCTCGCTTATGTAATGCCAGTGGCAAAACCACTAGTAACTCACTCTGGTATGACAGTTACGCAGCTTGCTAAAGTTGCCTAGCTTTGGCGCAAACAGACGACGCTTGAGCGGACGTCTTCTAAGGACAGAAGAGAAGGTACTTACACGCCGTTCCTCCAAGCCACGACCTTGTTCTTGTAGCAGGCAATTTCGAAGCGCTTACCGCCCTTCTTCATGCGAACCACGGCGACGTTAGTCAACCGTATCTGGTTGGTGGGCGTAAATATCGACATTTCGGGCCTTTACCAAAAGTCGGATATGTTTAAACCAAAACGATATCGGGCTATCATACACTGTGGGAGCCCGAACAGGAGCTGTTACTCGAAAACTTGCTTGAAAGTGCTCCAAAATTTTGCATTCCTTCGGCTCGCCGTACTTGGACTGCAGCACCAACCACGACCAGACGAGAAACCTCTGCTAGCTGCGATGTCGATTGAACTGGTTGAACGTTTCAAACTTGGTTTCGGACATGCCACCAGCTGAGGATGACGATGGAGAGCCAAGGGGGAGCCATATGCTCACACCACGCAACGTGCTGCTCGGAGACGGCAGCAGCGCTGTCTTGGACCTTTTTTGAAGTACACAGGAACGGTGAGTTTTCATATCCCACACATAATTTATTTACACTGATTCTAGTTCATCTAGACATGAAAGGGCTGTATTTGCCACATTTGAATACACAAAGTACTTACTTGTGCTTCAATATGAAGCAAGGTGGCAATGTCAAAATGCTGCATTTTCTTTAAATGGTACATAAAATATTGAACAGAAACACCCTTTTCTATATTAGCGATCACAGTCACAACAGACTAGATTGGAGCAAGCATATATGAGCGGCACTCTGTGCTGAATGTCGCTATCACAAAATTGTGCGAACAATGCAGCAACGTCTCAAAATTCTTTTCACCAGAACGCATAAAAATCGAGATTCCATTAGTAACATTTTGTATGAACACATGATACATAAGTCTATATCTTCTCATAGTGACTGACTACAAGCATTCAATTGTGCACGCCAGGCTTGACGAGCAATTGTGCTCGTCAAGTTGTGCTGTTTTTTTGCTCATTGTCCTAAACATTGTGTGAATGTTAAAATAACATTTAATTTGAATTCGCGACTGCAGTCATGCTGCAATGCTAAAAAATATGCAAATCAAGACGGCAAACAACAGGTGAGTTGTTTTGATAACATACAGCATGAATAATTCGCTCAGCCATCTCGCGGCTCCCAAACCATACCACGTTCGAAATTTATTCCCGCAAAGAGTCGTTTACAATGAAAACTAGGTGAAATCATTCGCTGGCATGTTGCTGTGATGACCATTTTCCTTTGTGAAACTGTGCGAGATGACCACTTACTAGCTTAGCGCTCCCAAACAAGATTCAGAATGTAGTTGTTGCATCTTAGCCTCATTGTGCTGAAATGAAAATATCACAGTGAACTGCAAAACAGTGTGATGCAAAAAGATATCACATTACTACACCATGTGGTAATGCTGAATAAAAATCACAGTGAGCTAGAAAACACAGTGGGACAATACAAATATCACAGAAACATTAACAGAAAATGTCAACTATACACTCGTGGTCTCCGTGTAAATGACTAGACACCTTTGAAATGTGGGTAAAAAACACTGCCACTAGAACAGCTCGAACATACATTGAGAAATGCATATATCGAACATAAAAAATGCTGCACTCCTTGTACAAAGTAAATGCTAACCTAAATCTAGTAATATGTACTAAATGCAAACAAAAAACGTATCAAATAGAACATGAACAGCAACACGTAAACATATCAAAAACACTAAACCAATTATGAATGATAAAAAGTTGAAAACATGGCGAAAAACAAACTAAACTATGTATATATCTCCCGAAGCGTATAAAATTGAACATGAACAGCAGCACCTAAACACATTGAAACCGACAAATCATTAATGAATGATGACAAGAAAAAACATTGAACACATGACGAAAAATTAAACTAAACTACGTGTCCCTTTCTCGCAGAAAGCCCTCAGCCATGGCCAGTGCGCTCCTGTGCCGCTGCCACACGCCGTGCTGCAGAAGCGATGCGGGTGGTTGATTTTTCATCTCCCACAGCACCTGCGATGAATCGTCATGGTGTAAATGTTTAAGTGAGCTGCCGGTAGACCCTTAACCATCTCGTGGCTGGAAGCTGCTCCTGCTGCCAAGAATTGCAACGGGCACAACAATTTCCCCTCAGTTGAAGATCAACTGGCCTGATGGCATCCTTTGAAAGTGGGAAGCTTTGTGTACAAGCTATGCCTTCCTCGTGCGGACCTACAAACATTTGTTGAAACTGCTCTTTATTAATGTCCTCAAATGCATCTCTCACCATGAAAGAGCCCCAGGGCTAACCAACCTTTTGCCCGGCAGTTTATCATTGCAGATACCCGATACCATGCCCTCAATACAATGCATGGTTCTTGTTTACAGCCCAAGTTGGTTTCAGTCATCATAATAGAACATGGAAAATGCTTATGCCCCTTATGTAAAATGTAAACAAAGGGTCTACTCACCTTGAGCACCTTGTCGCCCTGCTCAAGGTTCCAGTCCTGCACTCAATAAAGCACTAAGTTCTCAGATGCTTGCGTGTTACTGTGTCACTGCCATCTACAGCCGCTTCAGTGGCCTCCACCTCCATTTTCACTGCAGCAGTGGGAACATTCGCCTGCTGGAAAGTGTAGTAAGCATGATCTTTCAGAAAGTGGGTATTCGTTACTCTGGCTATTTTGCAACCTTAAGTACTAAACATCTGCGGAAATGTTCTGCAGCTATTCAGTGGTCATTGATGTCATGTATTACCATTTTAGTGCATGCACTTGCCCGCAGTCATTGCGTGTTTTATGATAAATTAATACCCCTTGTACTGCAAGGGCTGCAAACTGAGATTTTAGTTAAACCTACCCACTTTTGACTACTTTCTCGTGCGCTTTATTCCCGTTTAACAAGGTTCTGCTAAAGGCACCCCTTCAGATATCAAACTCTGTCATGGTACCGCTCAGGAACCCGCGATACTGCGGCGGCAGAGTGCTTACCTGTTGATAGGTGAGACCAAAAACGCCACTGAAGCGTGTCATCCCAGTCAACTGTAGAACCCGGCCGCGGAAGCCAGGCAGCCAACCCCCTCCATTGCCCCTGAAAATATACACTAATGTCACAGAACAAATTGCCCGTGCCATTCGACGGTCACTCACGTTTGTGCGTCTCTGATGGCGGCGGTGTCACGGCGGGCCTCGTGCACCGGCCTGCGCCACCAAGCCTGCCATTCCTGCGCAGGCACTTCATGGTTCAGCGCGTCGCTGAGCTTGGGAACACGGGGTACCCCACAGGGAGCAGTGTTATCACCACTCCTTTTCAACATTGCTATGATGCGCCTTCCAAGCGAATTGGCCAGGGTGGAAGGCACACAACACGCAGTATATGCCGACGATATTACAATCTGGACCACTGAAGGGAGCCTTGGTGAAATGCAGGAACGCCTTCAGCAGGCCGCATCCATAGTCGAGGCGTATGCCAACGATTGTGGACTCCAATGTGCTCCAAACAAATCAGAGCTTCTGCACGTTAGAGCGAAGCCAAGAGATAAGTCAGCCATACACATCTCCCTGTCTGGGGTTCCCATCAGAGAGGTGGAGGAGCTCCGGGTTCTGGGCCTGTTCATTCACCACAGACTTAGACCGGACTCCACTATAGCGAAACTTAAGAGAATAGGCGAACAGGTAGGGCGCATGATCCACCGCGTTTCCAACAAGCGGGGTGGTCTGCGGGACAGGGACGCGCTTCGGCTCGCGCATGCCTTCGTGACTAGCCGGATCCTCTACGCCGTCCCATACCTTCGCACTAACAAGCAAGAAGACGAAAGAATAGATGCCATCATTCGTAAGGCTACTAAACGAGCTCTGGATCTCCCGGTGGCCACTTCCAACGCCAAACTGAGGGCGTTAGGTGTGCTCAACTCCTACCAGGAGTTGCGGGAGGCCCACCTTATGAATCAATATACGCGGCTCGTGCAGACGGCTCCCGTGCGCCGCCTGCTAAACCGCTTACATATACAGCACACTTGCACTGCAGAGGAGGCGGAGCGTATTCCGGAACTATGGCGGCATATGCTCTCGGTCGCTCCACTCCCCAGTAACATGGATAAGCACACGCACGAAAGCAGAAGACAGGCGCGGGCTCGCACGCTTGAGAGGCAACACGGCTCCCGACCTGGTGTATTCTACGTAGATATAGCAGGGCCTTCGCCCACGGGATTTTACACGGCCTCTGTAGTTCACCGGGAAAAGCATGTCAATGGGCTCTCGTTCCGAGCACAAAATCCAGAGCGCGCTGAGGAAGTCGCGATAGCGCTTGCTGCTGCGGACCCCAACTCGAAAGTTATCATCACGGACTCCCGGAAAGCATGTACTCATTACTTGGTAGGAGAGATATCCCCCCTAGCCAGCCAAATTCTAAAACGGGCTCTCGCTGATCCAGCCCCGAAACGCATCGTATGGGCTCCTGGCCATCAGGGCTTACGAGGTAATGAGGCCGCTGACGCGGCCGCCCGAGCGCTTACCCACCGGGCTCCTCACCTTGGCTCTTATGACTCAGAGGCCAATACACCGCTGCTGCGGTTCAAAGAAATTCTGACCTATTATCGTGACACTCACCGCCTTTACCCGGCTCCTGCAAAGGGGTTGAGTAAGGCGCAAGAGCGAACTCTAAGGCGCCTGCAGACAGGTACTCTACTCTGCCCTGCAATCCTAAAGCATTTCGATGCGAACACAGATGGGCGGTGCCCATACTGTGGGGAGACGTGTGATATCTTCCACATGGTATGGGCATGTCCGAAAAATCCCCACCTACCCCCTTCCCCTACCCCTTCCCGAGAGGCATGGGAGACTGCCCTCCTCAACTGCTCATCACTAGAGTCTCAACGGGCTCTAGTGAGACGGGCACGAGTAGGGGCCTCGTCATGCGGTGTCCCGGACTAAGGACGCCGACCATGTAGCAAGGTCATGCTTTGGCCCCGTACCTCTCTCTTCTCTCTTTTATAATAAATGTTTTTCATCATCATCGCTGAGCTCTTGCCAAAGCCGCCACAGGTCGGTGATGGTGACGCCGTGCCGCAGCTCGATGGCATTCGCCACGAGCTGGGGATGTTCGTCCATAAAGGCGAGCACCAGCGCGCGCTGAGCCTCGGATAACGCCGATGAGCCGCTGCTGCTGTTGACTACTGGTACAGTTGACCTCCGCCACGATTGCGCTCGACTGAGCCAACAACTTCGAAAGTTGCGCCGTTTAGGTTTGTATAGTGGAGGAGATATGAAAACAGTAACTGCTTAAAACGGGGTTGTATTTAGCGCCACCACGTATCGTCCCGCTAAATTTAGCTTTATTTCAAAACAATAACGAGAAA